AGGCAACCAGAATGACTAGATAGAAAAGAAATACATTGATGTGATTATTTGCAGAAATATTAGAAAAAAAAATTATTTATAATTGTTATCTATCAAAACAATAAGAATTGTATTAACTTAAGGTTGGTAAAAGAGAACATTATGGGAAGAAGAGGAAATCAAGTAAAGCTATTATGTGGATTATAGATCATAGAAACCAATTGTTAGCTAATGTTTTTTAAATGTAAACCCAGACAACACGCTGTTTACTGAATATTAAGGTGACCATGTTAAAAAAATAAAATATATTATAAAAAAAGAAGAAAGCTTTATTTATTTTGGACACCTAATGCAAATACTATAGTCATTAAAGAAGACACTGATGTCTGGAAAAAAATTAAAAAGGCCAACAGAAAATAAGATGGATAGATACTATAACCAACGATATAAATGTGCTTAGAATTCAAAGTTACTGATAGACAATCCTGGTTAAATGGAGCTCCTCAAGTTAGGGTTTTGGAAACAATCGAAAGACTGAACAAGTCTAACAATCATAGGGCAGAAAACTGGAGGAAAGTGCTTTAGTAACAATTATATCCAATGATGGTCAGCAGAAATGTTCCTAGGCATCAGAAGGCAATTTTCTCCACATTTCCTATAGGCTGTGAGGATAGCAGTAACATCAAAACATCAGATAGGGGTTTTAATATTACTCCCAATTCCCATACTAGCATTTTTTTTCTCCTTTTCCAACCAGACATATGTAAGTATTTTGCATTTAAATGCTATATTCTGTGGCAAGCTGCTTCAGAATCATTGAAATGAAATCAGGGTAATTTTTTTATCATATTTAATACTTGACTGTATATATTAATAATCATTCACTATTTCTATTTTGATTTTACTGTGTGGAGAGTTGCATTTGTAGAAACAATCAGATTTGTAAGACGACAAATGAGAGGTATAGATGTATGCATAGAAAATAGTACACTGAGTCTTTATTTTTTTTAAGTGTGCCTAAATCTAAATTTGTTGTCCTTTTTTAAAAGAAAAAAGAAATAGCTTGTTAGAGAACAATGTGGGCATGTGTTTTTAAGCTACTGTTCATGCAGTCTGGTCAGGACTGTGTGACACAGTATACAGTGTTTTGTCATCCAAGGAATGTCTTTGATCAAGCATTTATGCAAGAAGGGGGAAGAAACCATGAAACCCTAATCCGTTCCCACAGTCCAGTAAACGTGAGCTGGACAAACACTGGACAATAGCAGTAAAGCTTGCTGTTGGAACAATAGCACCAACTAAAAAAATTAAAGACCTGCTGATTCACATTCAAAAAAGATTCCATGCAATATTGATTAGACCCTAGCTCCTGAATTATAAACGTCATTTATCTTCCACATATTTCTGAAAAGCATCTGTGTTTCAAATGCAAGGAAAAAAACAGTTAATTTTCCCATTTTGTAGAACTATTAAAAGAGCACATTTTTAAGCATCATACATTGATTGCATTCATTAATATTCTTAAAAACAGGAAGACCAATGCCACTACCATTGTTTCATTTGGTATTACTTGATTGAGAATCAAAATTCTGTTTCACTGGAGGGAAGAGAATATTTGGTGTTGTCAGGACCTATTGTTTCCCAGAGACATTAAAATAGGTTTATATTTAAGGCACATGGAACATGATGAAACCAGGGTTTATTTTTTTTTAATCCTACCTTTATTAATTTTTATAATTAAGTCAAGGCAACAAACATACCTACTAATACTGTTTCCTCCTCCTATTTTCCCCATAACAGTAACCCTGTGAGTTGGGCTGAGAGAGAGTGACTGGCCCAAAGAAACCCAGCCATCTTTCATGCCTAACACAGAACTAGAACTCCTGGATTCTAGACTGTTGCCTTAATGAAAAAATTAATAGGAAATTGTATCTTTCGTAGATATCTTCAGTCTCACTAACTCTTCGAGAATGTCACCAAACATGGATTCAGATGATTGTCTACAAGATCAATGGTATGGGGTTTACAAAGGGCTTTTCACCAAGGTACGTGCGAGACTCATGAGTAGACCTAGAAGACATGGGGTTTGAGAAGAAAATTAGTCATTAAGCTAATTTAATTACAAAGACTGGGTGGGGGAGTAGTCAAGTTGTGCAAGCTGAAGGATCAGGGCATTGCTGGGATTAAGGATTTTTTTTAAAATTTACAGTATTCATAAATTATCTGCAATTGAGATAAACAATAAGATGGCTGGGTTTGCCGAAGATCTCGAATGAATGAATGAATTCAAGTTTGACACTGGCCAAATTCGGACCAAATCTGGGCAGTTCACAATATAAAAAAACAAATACTGTACAATAAACAAACAAACAAATAAATAACAAGATAAATGCAAAACACACAAAGAGAAATGAATAAAAGGGCAAATCTGGAACATTAATATCAAAATGCACGACAAATGCATCTAAACATGGGATTCCATCCAACCTACTGCAAAGCCTGGGAGGATATTCTTTAAGAATTTCTGGAATGCCATCAGGATGAGAGAGCCATTTGAATTCAGGTGTGCTTCCTGAGGCCCAAAAAGTGATGGATCAAGAGTTTTGGGATTATAATTGATAGCTCCATGAAAACTATCCAGATTGTAATTGCTGAGAAAAAGGCAAATTCAGGAGGAAAATAATAAAAAAAAGAATATTGCCAGAAGTGTCATGCCTATACAGATGCAGGGTCTGAATCTGACCACTCCTGAGTCCTGCTGGAATGTTATATATATTTAAGGCCCCCAGTTTAAACAACCTAGAGAAGGTGCAGAAAAGGACAAGATGAATCCTAGTAGTGAAAATGGTTTCTATGCTGGGTAAAATAAAAATTGCATACATATAATTACTTTCTCCCTCTTCCATTTTGTTAGGTGGGTTGGGGCAGAAAGATACAGAAAGAAAAGATTGACAATACTAGAAAGAACAATGTACAGTATTAATTTGCATGACTCCCACCACAATGTTCCCTAGGTATCTTATATTCCTTCATGTCAATAGCTATACTGGTAACGGGACGTCTCATCCAATACGTATGGGAACTGCAGTCCAAAAGATCATAAGGACATAGATTGGAAAAAGCAAACTGTATCAACAGATTGATTTACCAATAGTCCCTCTTTTGAAGTCTGCCATCCTACCATCACTTCTATCAGTAACCTCTCCTTTGCAGCCTTGGGATATGTATGAGAAGATAGTTTGGAAACAATTTAAATAAAACTGCATGTTTATTAACTAGAAATAAGTGATATAGCCATTCTGTCAGTCCTTTGCTAGCAGTCAATTAACTTACAGGTCCTCTTTGAGATATTGATCCCGACATTAAAAGACTTTGGTAGCAAGCTAGAAAATCTTAAGCAAAGCCTTCTCCCTTATTTCTTTACCCCTGTCCTTATGAGCCCTGTTTATGAAATGCTTTCTTCAGGACAATGTAGGCTAAATGAAAACATTACTTTCTGAGTGGCTTTTCTACAGTTTGAAAAAAGTCTGACTGCCTAGTGTTCAATGAAATGTTTTATATTTTTCTCATACTATTTATGTATTTGTTGCATTTGACTATTTTCACTGTCTTTTATAAATATTCTGGCAATCTATTTCAAAGTCTTCAGATATCGGGCAGAGAAGAAACACAAAATTCAATGCAAAATGAGATGTGCTACACCACGTCAAGCAAAGATTACATTTATGTTTTTAAAAAGATTTTATTCTAAATCTCAATAAATACTCAAACATTTTCCCCTAATTATTAAAACAGCTATTTGGTTGAATGTACTGCATAGTAGATGGAAAACAAAAGGCAATACACTACTTAGGATCAAAGCAGAAGGGTCATTTTTGTCTGTGTCAAACATTATTGCAAATTCTTAAACAAGGGAGTAATTTCTTATACATGTTAATGATCTGGGTTGTGTTACTCCCTGTACAGTCTTTGATATAATTAAATCTTTACCTTAAAAGTGCCGCCTGGAAAAAGACATGCACTTGGCATGGGGTATATTTAATTTGGTAGCATGAAGAACAATGGGGTAGATATAAAAGCATTTATGGATCTTAGGTTTCAGACACCTTTCAAACTGAGATTAATCTCTGTTGTTTAAATCAAGTTCATATAAGACAACCAACAACACCTTTTCTAAACAATTTTTGCAGCTGGTTTTGTTACTAATTTTTCTCCTTTCCACCAAAATGAGCTACTTACACTGAATGTAACAGTTTTTAAAAACTTTTTAAAAAAGTTTTAGCTTTTAAAAAAAATAATTACCGTATTTTTCAGCGTATAAGACGACTTTCTAAAGTGTTGAATTCGGCGCCGAAGTCGGGGGTCGTCTTATACGCCGAGTCATCTTATACGCCGGAAATTACGGTAGTTTCCAGCGTATAAGACGGCTTTCTAGGCATGCAACTCGGTGCCAAAGTCGGGGGTCATCTTATAGGCCGGGTCACCTTATACGCCGGAAAATACGGTAGGTTTTGGTATTTAATAGTAGGTAATTTGATATATACACCTAAGTCACTAACTTTAGAAACCCACAACTGATTTCGTGTTATAATTTGCCTAGTAACTGTGTTGATGTATAAAAAGTCATACTTTTACAAATGACACCTTCAAAATGACACCTTCAAAATGACATTTGTTCCAGTGTCACAAACTTTTATTATCATAGTATTTGAACAAAGAACTATTTGCAAGGAACACTCTATCTTTTGTTTCCTCCTTGTATTATGCAAAAGTGTTTCTGGAAGATTAAAAAGAACTCTTGAAAAGCACCATATTTTGATTACAAATCAACCATATTATCAACTGCTTTTCTAGACTCCACTTACATAGGTATATGACTAAGGGCTCTCTTCACAGGATTTTCTTTTTATGTTTTCAAATTAGTGTTTGTATTAATGTTCTTTTTCTCTGAAGTAAAAATATTATCAATGTTTTTGATAATGGCCATTTTAAGTAACAGACTGAATTACCACAAGAATCACTTTGAAGAAAAAAATAGTTTAGTACAAATATGAGAACATAACACACAGCAGGCAGTCAAATTTGGCCAGCCTTATAATCAATACAACAGATAATACTAACAGAGTACAATTATGAATATAATTTCAGTTACGGGTAAAACATCAGATTTACCATTGAATATACAAAGAACTTTCAACTGTTTCAGTAAATACTATCTCAGTTATTCCATTTTTTAAAACAAAAGCTTTCTTCCTAAAGCCGATTTAATTAAAACTGTTTACCATTTTTAATGAAAACATTGGAATTTTAAAGCTGATGTAATTATTTTTCCCACTAGGTGGCCCTAATCAGTTGTTTTCTAACATCTCAATAATTTAAAGTTAATCTTATTCACAGGTACAGCAAAATCCTATCTAGTAGGATGTTAACACAATTCAGTTTTCTCGTCATCCTTCTCAGTCCAAAGCAGCAAAATACAACCAACACAGCAATGCAGTGCAAGGAGTGGAAGTCTTGGATCCCCCATGATTTAGTTACTATAATGTTGTTCACAAGGAACGATAAATACGCTAACATTTGTATTTAAAAAGCAAGTACAGTATATTGAAGACAGGAGCTTAGTAGATCTTTGGACTCTAAAGCAAGAAGGAAAACATTGTCACTTCAAACCAACATTTTAACCCTGGTCCCCTTCAGCTGCCTTTTTTTGTTTTCAGTGCCAGGCAAAAGAGCTTTTAGCTGCAGGATTTGGTAAATAAATGCTGCATTGGAACTCTTCCTGCTTTACTACTGCACTGACTGTAGTACTGTATTTTAAATACTATTCTCATATGATGTCTCTATACATTATAAACCATCCCAGGAAGACCTGGGCCTGAGATGCAGCATGCATGCTTTAAAAATGAATACATAAATATACTGTTCCTTGGGCAATTTCAAAGGGATGACATAAAAGAAAAGAATTCATACAGCAGCCTGTTTTTGGACTGGCAGAGTTAATTTTGCCACTTATTTCCTCTAAACTACCAAAGGATAGGAAAATAATAAGAGGGAAACAGGACATAACAAAACATGCCCACAAGCCAAATTAATTTTACCTTGTCTATTAAAATTATTTATAAAATGCACAGGAGAGTGCCAGATTGGCCTCTGAAGGCCATTTCTGCAAGCTACAAAATTCTCTACAGGTCCTCATCTGTATTTCTTCCAAATAAAGTTTATTTTCAAAATTTATCTTAGAATTTTTATAACGATGATGATTACTACTGTTCTTAAAAAGAAAGCTACTGACCAAAAATCAGTTTATCTGGGAGCCTCCAAAATTAATTTACAAATAAAACACATCCCATCTGAGATACACTTGTAAAAATACAGACATACTGATAATATGTTTCAAATTTGTGGGTTTTGCACTAATGTAGTGAAATATGTATTTTACTCACTTCCTACAGAATGCCAATTTTAGGAAGGCACTCTTCAGAGTGTTTACAAAATCTACTTAAAAATCCTTAAAATGCTCTACAGGAAATCCTTATCTTACAACTATTCATTTGGTGAATGTCTGTAGTTACAACAGCACTGAAAAAAGTGATATACGAACGCTGCAACAACCTCAGTTATGTGATCCAAATTAGGGCACTTGGCAACTGGCATGTACTTATAACAGCTGGAGTTTCCCCAGCTCACATGATTGCCATCTGCAATCATTCCAGTTGACTTCCAATAAGCAAACTCAATGGGGAAAGATGGATTCACTTAACTATTGATTTATTGACTACAGCAAAAAAGATCATAAAATGGGGTGTTTATCACTTAAAAAAAATATCACTTAGTGACAGAAGTTCCAGTCCGAATTGTGATCATAAGTTGAGGACTACTTGCAGTTATCTTTTCAATATAAACGGTGGCAATAGGTCATTAATGAGTCAGATTGGTATAATGGTTAAGGCTTCAGGCTAAAAACCAGAAGACCATGAGTTCTAGTCCAACCTTGGGCACAAAGCCAACTGGATGACCTTGAGCCAGTCACTTTTCTCAGCCCTAGGAAGTAGGCAAGGGCAAATCACTTCTGAAAAATTCTTGCTAAGAAAACTGCAGGGACTTTTTCAGCCTATCTGCAAGAATCAGACACAATTGAACAGAAGAAAAAAAAATAACACTATTTAGCTGATGTTCCATAGATCAATTTTCTTCTCTAATAATGTGTAACATTAATTTCTGGAACAGTATGTTAACCAACAGGCTGAAGCCATAGTTGGGCTTGAATGTGCAAACCAAAACAATGATACAATGATACAATTCAAATAGAATAAAATCAGCTTTATCCTTGTAGTTTTCTGCTCAGTGGATAGAAAAGAAAAGATGATCACTCTGTGTGAGATGTAACCACTTTTTATATTCAACAGCAATTTTCTTTTTATGTTGCTTTCAAAATGAAAATGAAATTCTCTCAGAACCAAGTCTTAAATCAGATGGAATATGCAATAATGAGCAAATCTAAAAAAAAAAGAAGTTTAGAAATGTTAATACTTTAATTAAAGATTAAATATCACCCTCTTCTGTTCCGGTTATGTTTCATTACAATAATGTTATTCTTTCTGAACACATGTTGAGTACAGTTTGTATTCCAAAAATGAAATTGGACACATACTTGTTTAAACCGTCCCCTAATTTTCTCCAAGTCATCTTGAAGTTTGTCATAAGCTGGATCTTCCAAAGGAAAGTTTTGAATCATCTCTATTAACAGCTCCAGGACTTTTATTTTTTTACTGAAACAAAATTGATATAACAATGTCACACACAGTTATTTTCAAAGTCCATCTACGTACAGCCCTATTTTAATGTATTTTACTACTTCTGTTCGTTCTAGCATCACACTGACAAGATGGGTAACTCAGAAAGCCAAGACTATTGTTCACTATCATTAATAAAATTGTAATGAATTATTATAATAGAGGCTCAAATAATACATTGACATAGTATTTAGAATCAATGGTGTCTATAAAGACAAATTATACAGCTTGGCCTAAAAACAAGTCTATTTAGAATTATGGATCAATTCCAAATGTTTCCTCTATATCCATTAATAGAGCAGCAGGTGATGTAAACACATACCACCAGTGATAATTCATTTGTTCCCTGTCAACACTGTATCAAATCTATCATTTCAATCCTTCTCCAAATCCACAACTTCTAGGCAACATTGTCACCAGGTAATGAAAGTCACTGTAGAAAATGTCCCTTTGTTTTGTAGCATTTCATCATATATGAGTGAACAATTTTAGAACGATCTACCTATGAATGGAGTTTCATTCTCTTAAGATAACTTTATGAAGCATTAAGACTTTATTTTGAGAAAAATGAGGTAGAACATAAACCAACCTTCCCATACATACAACTGAAAATGACGAATTCCAAATAATAAAGCATATTCTTCTACATTTGATCTTCTCTCTCAGATCTGTAGTAGTAGATTCTTGCCAATTAAAAATCACCTCTTTAACAAAAAGAGGAAATGGAAACTAAATTCACATGATCTGAATAGTTCACCAGTTCCAAGACACTTTCAGTGTGATACAGGCTGCAGCAAATGGGATGCAATCTAATGGTATGATTTGAGATGTGTTTGAGATGGTGAATCCTGAGAAAATAAATCAACTCAGCCACTATTTCCTGCATCCAGGTTCCTCCTAGGTTATGAAAGCAGCCAGGAAAGTGATATGCCTGTGGGTCCATGCAGTAGTGTCAACCTTCTTAATGAAGGGAATGGTCTCCCCAGCCTTGGAAGCGGCAGTGGTGTGTCCCCTTCTCAAGAGGCTATATATGGACCAATGGTTTTCAATAACTATTGACCAGTCTCCTCTCCAATTTTCCTTCTTTGGGGAAGATTGCTCAAAAGGTAGGCAGTCTGCAGCTAAGAAATGGATTATCTGGAGGAAATGAATTATCTAGACACATTCCAGTCAGGTTTCAGGCTAGGATTTAGTACTGAGACAGCTTTGGTCACCCTTATAGTCCTTGATCTCTCGGTAGCTTTTGATAGCATCAACCACAGTGTCCTCCTGAGCGAGCTCCATGGGTTGGGGGCATTGGGGGCACCATTTTACGGTGAATTTCTTCCTTTCTCTGGGGTTAGTCCTGTTGATGTTACGTGGTGGTGAGAGATTGTTCCCTAGGTCTCTCGTTTGTGGAGTACCTCAGGTTCTATTTTCTCTCCCCTCCTTTTCAACATTTATATGAGACTTCTGGTTGAGGTGACCCATCAGTTTGGAGTTTGATATCATCAGTACTTTGATGATACTCTATTATATATTTTATACATTATATATTTTGATTCTGAGGCAGACGGGTGAGGGTGTTGAGGTTCTGTCCCAGTCTCTGGAAGCAGTAGGTGTTTTTACTTCCTAGATCTGGGGGTATTCACTTTGATCTTGGATTGGGTTGCTCTTCCCCATTCAAGGATTGTGCACAATTTTTTGGGGGGGGGGTCTCCTGGACTCACCTATTCAGTGAGATGTGGCAGCTCTAACCAGAAAGGCATTTACCCAGGTTCATCTGCTGTACCCCATTATACCCTTTCCTAGCCCCTTCAGATACACATTTATGCACTGTCACATCACAGCTTGATTACTGCAACATGTTCTAAGTAGGGGCTACCCTGAAAAGCTATCTGATCCAAAATACAGTAGCACAGGTTGTGATAGGCATGCCTCAAGATGTCAATGTAACAGATCTTCACAAGCTGCACTGATTGCCAGTTTGCTTCCAGGTGAGATTCAAGGTACAGGGTGCTACCTATAAAGCACTACATGGCATAGGATCAGGTTACTTGAGGGATCCTATGCCATGTAACGGCACAGCTGCACTTGAAAGCATCGAAACTTAAAAGCTATTACATTTCTGCATATGTTTGCTGGCACACCACTGAAGTCATATCCAGTTATTAACATCCTGTACAATTGCCGATACTTTTTCAACACTATTTCAATTAATGTAATTCCATCATCACACACCCATATATCCAATCTAATTTCACCAGGTACTTTAATGTATATTTTAGGTTGGCACCAATTTCCTCTTCATTTGCTCTTGCAATATTTTCTTCCCTACCATTCTAAGCTCTCTTTTTTAACACAAAGGAAAAGTAGTCCTTTTCCTGGAAATTAATTAAATCCATGAGCAAAGCATTTGAATACAAAATGTCCTTCTATCAACAATAATATATTGAGCAGAGATCCATTGAGAGTGCTGCCGCTGACAGAAAGGAAAAAAAGGTGGGGGAGTGTTTTACTGAATTTCTTTTTTTCTCTGCTGCTACCAATTCTCATATTTTATAATGACAGCAACTGCTTAATCCTCCAGAACAAATTTCCAGCAGAGCAGGAAAAATGACAAAAATCTCTTTCTCCCAAATCAGCATTCTTCTCATGAGAATTTCCCACTGGATCAGATAACTTGACAATAAGAAGCTGTTCCATATTCAAGATGCAGAATTTTGATCCAACCCAGTGGGTAACAATGGCTCCCCCTCCTCCCAAATTTACCTGCATTTTTCAGCTGATGTTTTCTGAAGCAACTGTTGCCACGTCAGTGCAAAACCAAGGTATGACCCTATCTGTAAATTTAAGAAGTGATTATTTTATTTTGTTTTAGAACCACTAACATTATTTCTCATATGTTTATAGTTACAGAGCTATAAAAACTACGAAGTTCACTTAGAGATTAGTGTACATTTCAGCCTATACACACTGAAGAGAATACTGCTTTTTTAATCAAAAAATTAATTGTAGTTTTTAAAACATACTTCTGAGCCAATGCTGGCACCCTGCTGTATTCCATGTTGCCTTCCTTCCACAACACCAGCATGGACTCCTTCAGCATAACCATCTTGATAGCCTTCACCATGAAATCTGTTAAAAGATTTTGAAAGAGGAAGTCATATAAGCATATAAATCTATATAAATGTATCCTTTCCTTTAACTGTCATGTAAGTTTATTCCACATAATCCAGTACATTCCAATTAACTTCAAAAGGATTTAAGCAATTGTTATATAATACATTGTTTGAATGTAAATTCATTTAGCTTGTAATCACATATAAAGTATGGCATACATACTTGCTTGGATGTAAGAGTGATTGAATTCTATAAGGTTTATCTCTGATTAATCTTTTTTATTCTACAAAAAAACTCAAGGTAGCAAACATATCCAACATACCTTCCTCCATCTCTTTTCCTCACAACACCTCTTTGAACTGAGTCCTGTTCAGAGTGGTGACTGGCTCAAGGTCACCTAGCTACCGTTCACAGGACTAGAACTTATGAGCTCCCAGTTTATAGTTTGGCACCTTAACCATACTTAGAATTGCAGTCTTGATTTTATTGTGTTCTATTAAAATGCAACTACATATTATACATTCATAAGAATTTAAAACTGGGCTTTCATAAATTACAGTAGCAAATGTTCTCTTGAGCTTTTTTCAATAAGTTGTACAAAAATGAATTCCATTAATGTAAAATATTTATCTCATTCCATTTGTAATCTACAGTAAAACAGGATTGCTTTAATAATTTTCAATACTCTAAAAAATTTACAGCAACATTGAAGTTCTATGGACCATCATTTTAAAGCAGTTGTATGAAAACCTCAACAATATGATTGGTGTCTGTAATAGAATGAAATGTGTTTTTATTTTTCTAGCATGTAACTTATGGCTTTTGCCATTCAACAAAACTGAACCGATTAGGATAGCACTCACAATGTTACTGAACCTGTAATGTATCCTATTATATCTTGCAATAATTCTATCGCTGCAGACTATTTTATGCTTAACTTCAAAAAAAATTAGGCAACCTGTTAAAACTATTTGCCTTAAAAACAAAAAAGTGTTAAAACTGTAAAACAAATACAGTACAAAACACTTTTCTATCTCCTTTAAATTAAAACATATGACTATAAGGATGCACCAAAACTGTTATTATGAACCCTGGGGAATAAAGAAATTACTAGGTAATAAAATATCAACCCTATTCCATTGTTGTTCTGCCCTAATTGACCAGCATGACAAAGAAGACTTGGAGATGGGCAATCCAACACAGCTAAAGCCACCACCCTGAGAAAACCTGTAAGAATTATCAGTTTCATTACCCAGCACTATCCTTGTGAGCCAACTCATTTTTACAGTTTAAGGAAAGCAGAAAGAGTAATTGATTACTTAGATGACCCAAGGCATGTTTTTCTTCCAGAATATGGGCTTGAACTGCTGAGCCAAATTCTCATCCAAGGTTTTTTTTTTTTTAACTTCATGTTCAGTGTGAATAAATCTGGCATATAAACTTTTCCCTATCCTCACATCTCTGTCAAAACCAGATGAAGAGAAAGAAATTGGAAATTCTATCATGCAGAGGTAAATCCAGTCATAGGAACCGGCAGAAATGGAACATTCTGCCTAGAGATTGATTAAGGCTCTGCGCTGCACAACTCTTCTTACCCAGTCATGGTAACTGGGGACTCAGAGTTGGTGCAAAGCTTCTACAGAATATCAGGTTGGTTGTGCTGCCTAACAAGAATGGGGAGCCTATGGCCTTGCTAGTTAATGCTGCCAGAAACTGGAATTTAGCAACCTTTGAGGAGCAGAGGGCATTTTAAAGTAAGAGGTCCAAGATAAAAGTTAACAGACTAGTTGACAGAATAACAGAGTTGGAAGGGACTTTGGAGGTCATCTAGTCCAACCCCCTGCGCAGGCAGGAAACCCTGTATCATTTCCGACAAATGGCTGTTCAGTCTCTTCTTAAAAACTTCCAGTGTTGCAGCATTCTCAGCTTCTGGAGGAAGGTTGTTCCACTGATTGTTCTAACTGTCAGAAAATGTCTCCTTAGTTCTAGGTTGCTTCTCTCCTTGATCAGTTTCCATCCGCTGCTTCTTGTCCTGCCTTCAGGCGCTTTGGAGAATAGCTTGACTCCCTCCCTGAGATATTGGAACACTGCTATCATGTCCGCCCTCGACCTTCTCTTCGTTAAACTAGACATACCTAATTCCAGCAACCGTTCTTCATACGTTTTAGCCTCCAGTCCCCTGATCATCTTTGTTGCTCTTCTCTGCACTCTTTTTAGAGCGACCATTCACCAAACGGAATCGTACCGGGGGAGCCACTTGGCAGGAAAACCTTCATTCCACGTAGCCTCAGCAACGAATTTCTCCCACTTTCTGCGGGGGATACATTAAAGCAGAGGATGGCGTTGAAGGGAGGATGCCGCTACTCGGCCCCGTTTGGCCTTCTCCGCGGCCAGAGACACGCCTTTCCCATTCCGTTCACGGCCAAAACGAAAGGGGGAAAGTTCCTCGTCAGGAAGCGGCGGCGCCAACGCGATGAACATGGCCTACCTCGTTTCTGCCATGACAATAGCATCGAAGGCGTCGGGCTCCCCCTCAACAGCCGCCATGGCTTCCGCCGATTACTCAACGGCTGCGTCGCTCGTCTCTTCTACCGACGGCAAGCCGAAAGGACCAAACTAAAGGCGGCTTTCTTGCGCATGCTCCGAAAGGGCGCTAACTCACGTCACGAGCTAAAGGCTTCTGTCGGCACATTTCGCTTTCGGAGGTTGGGAATGTTTCTCGGCGCGCCTCCGTTGCTTCCCCTGTTAGCCGCTAGAGGGAGAACGTTTCATTCGAAAAACAGATGGCCTGGGTTCGCCAGAGCCGTGGGAGCGCGCATCTGTTTGCTTTAGAAAGTGAAACGTGGGTTTCGCGGACTTCGAGCTCTTTCTCAGGTGGCGCTTATTGCGGCATGGATTTTGTTGCTGGATACATTTTCCTAATTCTGCTTGGCAGAGATGATACAGTATTGCCATTATAGTTAGGTGACTCCGTTTTGAATACTTTTGTCCTTAAATTGTTCTTCCTGTGGCCAAATTTGAGGATCGGTAATCTACTAAATTGGTTTAATAACAGGAAAAAAATATCTTCCATGGCTTTCTTTTTTTTTTCATTCTTTACTGTTTGAGCAAATGTATTGTTTTAGAGCAGTTCAGATAGTTAAATAGGCCAATTGGGGATTTTTTTTTTTTCTTTTCTTTCAACAGGATTACAGTACCAATTTACAAAAATTGAAGATTACAATAAATGTGAAAGTGATTGCTTAATTATATGCCATCAAATCACAAAGCTTGTTCCTTGGTGATCTGACCACCGACCATTTAGTCAGTTGCCGCTGACTCATGCAGCAACTGAGTCAGTGGTGGGATTCAAATATGTGAACAACCGGTTCTCTGCATGGATGTCACTTCTGGAAGTCCATTCTGGTCCTGGGCAACAAAAAATTAGCTACCGGTTCTGCCGAAGTGGTGTGAACTGGCTGAATCCACTGCTGAACTGAATCCTTATTGAGATCTTACAGCCAGTCATCCCCTTCTACCTTCCACCTTTCCCAGGCTTTGCCAAAAAACATTATCTTTGTAGCTTGGCTGGAATTTTTTACTGCTTTCATCACCACCACAAAGCATCACTTTGATTTCTTGAAGCTGCTCATAGCCTTTCTCTGTCTAAATTAAAATGGAACTAGCATAAGCACCTCAAATTATCTTAGTTTTTTTCCCAAAGGAGGGGAGATTTTTCTTATTTCCCATCAGTATTCTTGTTGGTATTCTCAAGTTTGCTTCAGAGGGAAGCAAATGGCTTTTACAGGAAAGAATAACTATTTCCAAACACAACTGAGTCAGCCTGTCTCCCAGGCAGTAAATTCATTATCTAGTACCTCATGCCATTTTTCCTGTCTGCAATCTACCTTATAGTTATCTGAGAAATAGCAGAACAGAAAGCTATGTACATCATCAGGAGTCCTTGAACAAAAGGTGGGATATAGGCCTAATAAACAGAGACAGCTGGACAGCCTTTTTTACAATCCTCCATCTTCCAAAAGTCTTCAATCTCACAAAAGACTCTGAAAGGTATATTTGTTCCCCAAGGACTTACACTGCTTTACAAATAACAATTAATACGTCCATGATTGAATAATATCTATAAGGTATATTAAGAGAAAAAATATGATTTTCTTTTGATTATTTGGTGAATTCCATCTCTAAACTGGAACTTGAACCTGAGTCTCTGCATCTAAATCCAATCCCCTCATTATTACCTCATCCTGGATTCAGCCTCCCTCCTTCCCTTCCTTCCTTCCTTCCTTCCTTCCTTCCTTCCTTCCTTCCTTCCTTTCTTTCTTTCAAGATTCTCTATGGATATTTCAATTGTTTATCAAGTGCTAAATGCCCTAGACATAACCATTAAAGTGCCTTGGTCAGATATATACATAATCACATCTCTTGAAACAAGAAAGAGTAATCTTTCTAACCTTATCAGTCAGGCCTTCCTTCTGTAAACACCCACTTCAGCTACTTGTAAGTGTTTATATAAGGTGACCAACCGTCCTCCTTTTGGGAGGACAGTCCTCCTTTTTTGAGTTCTGTCCTCCCTCAAAAAGTGTCCTCCTAAATGTCCTCCTTTTCCATATACCGTCCTCCTTTTGGGAGAACAGTCCTCCTTTTGTGAGTTCTGTCCTCCCTCGAAAATGTCCTCCTAAATGTCCTCTTTTTCTATATTTGAAGACTTATCTGCAGGGCTTTTTTTTCCTCATAGAATGCCCAGAAGGCGTTCCGGGACCTTTTTTTGATGTTTTTTTTCAACTTTTGCCTGAGCTGTGCTACTCCCCCTATTGGCTTTCGAAAGCCAATAGGAATTGCTGCTGAGCGCGCCAAAACACCCAGGCAGCAAACTTTGCACGTGCAAGTTGCAGAAACTTTGCACCCCTCACTGCTACCCAACTACACCATCTCTTACTTAGTTCCACAGATAGCTGGAGGAGACTGGAGTGGTAAGTTTCTCTTGATCTTCCCTGTTCGGTTCTACACGGGGATGCACAGGGTAGGCGGTGGTGCTGGGGGGTGGCTGCAGGGCCGGAGCCAGCGTGGCTGGTGCTTTGCGAGCCTTGGGGCCAGCTCTACGGGGATGTGCAGGGTGGGCAGTGGTGCTGGGGGCCGGCTGGGGGGACAGCTGCAGGGCCGGAGCCGGAGCAGCTGGTGCTTTGCCTTTGCGAGCCGTGGGGCTGGCTCTACGGGGATGCACAGGGTGGGCGGTGGTGCTGGGGGGCAGCTGGGGGGGGGGGCTACAGGGCCGGAGCTGGCGCGGCTGGTGCTTTGCCTTTGCAAGCCGTGGGGCTGGCTCTATGGGGATGTGCAGGGTGGGCGGTGGTGCTGGGGGGCGGCTCAGGGCCGGAGCTGGCTCAGCTGGTGCTTTGCGAGCCAAGGGGCTGGCTCTCCATGGCAGGGCAGCGGTGCTGGCAGGGCGGCTGTGGGCGGGGGCGCAGCAGGCAGTTGACCTTCTATGGGCCGCGCCAGCTGGTGGTCTACGCAGTGCTGACCTGCGCTGCCACCACCTCACCCTGCGCATCTACGTGGCCATCGTGGAGCGCCTGGCTCACAACACCTGCCTCCCCCATCCACCCCCGCGCAATCCAGCCATGTAGATTTTTGGACAAGTGAGAAATTGAGATTGAATGTTGATACTCTAGCTGCAGCACTTGCCATAAAATTCAATATGAAGGATATTTCTTGTTCAGATATTTCCAATATATTGCTAGAAGATGATACATTGACAAAAAATATTCATTCAATGGATAAGTACTCATTTAAATAATTAATAGGCATGTAAGCATAATTACAATATAAAATGTTATTGTTACAAATGTTTTTATTATGCATTGATCATATTATAGTGTATTCTGTATTATTGTTGCAATAAATACAATGTTTCTTTTATTTATGATATTTTTTTCTTCAATTTATTCGTGTCCTCCTTTTTATTGTAAAAAAGTTGGTCACCTTAGTTTATAAGAAAACTGAAAGAATATATAACTTTCACCTGAAAAGTTAACTAAGGTGTGTGCTACTATGGCTTTTGCTGTGTGGAGAAAAGATACGTTTTAGGTCAAATTATGCAGAAATATTGGACAGGATATGTTTAGGCAATTTATTTTCAAAAATAAATTGAAATAATTGAAAGAGTGCCCTGTACTATTTAAATTTAAAATAAATGTGAACAATTTCCAGTTTGTAGTATCCAGGAACTTTGAGGGGGCATCAGTGGACACCCCCCCCCCAACAACGCAACACAAAAGAAAAAGACTTGGTGGCACAATTCTCATTTTGAAAGCCCTGCAAAATTTGAGATAATGAATTGAACATTTATTCTTACTTGCATTGTGGATTTCATACAGTTGTCACCATGCTCTTGGAGGCTAAATTTTAGCTGCAGATGTCTTGCCTGCCCCTTCTTTTACAGTTTGTATGTTCAGCCTGGACTTTATGTTTACTTAAGTTGCAGTTAATCTGCACAATGAACTGTCTGTTGAACAAACATGCTAAAGAATTGTGCCTTAAGAACTTAACATTCATTCTAGTAGTAAAGTCAGATGATGACTGTCAATAGAATTGAACCCAAATTCTCTGTAGTGCCTTCCTCCCTTTAATACATCAATCTCTTGGAAATAAGTTTGGCGCCATCTTTGTTACTTTTCTGGAAGGCCCTGAAGACATGGTTCTGTCAACAGGCCTGGGATCCCAGGTTGGTTCAGAGTTGATCCTGTGGCTTGTATGATTGCATTTGTCACTGACAGGGTGCATGGGTGGGTTTTATAGTGTTGATTTTTAAATTTGTAAGCCTTCTAGAAACACCATGTTGAGTTAGGCAGCCATATACATCTATTTAATAAATAAGTAAAATAAATAAATTGTGATACTTAGAAGCAAAATGGATAGATAAGTAAGTAAGTAAGTAAGTAAGTAAGTAGCAGGGAACTGCAATTACAGTATAGCATCCTGCTTAATGTTTATATGTTAACATTTATATGCCAGAAGTAATCTGCCAGTTCAGGGTAAGGTATCATTAGTAAAATTATAATACCCAGTTGTATATTTGTTTATTTAAAACATTTATGCAGCCACCTATCTTATGCCAAACTCTAGGTGGCTCCCAATATACAGTATTTCTATGTACATTGTATAAATTGCAGTGGTAGTCATGATCCAAGGTCTTTGATCCAGATCTTTTAGGTTCTGGATAGGCAAAGAGAGAAAGGGGGGACAGAGGGAGAGGGAAGGTGAGGGAGGGAGGGAGGGAGGGAGGGAGGGAGGGAGGGAGGGAGAGAGAGAGAGAGAGAGAGAGAGAGAGAGAGAGAGAGAGAGAGAGAGAGAGAGAATGAGAATGAATCAGATTCAACCCAAGCAAGACAAAATAGCTATTTATTAAAAAGCTTGTTGATTCTGGGTTTATACCATCATTGGTTCTTCAGGAGGTTACATTCTCCTAAGGATAGCAGGACCATAATTTTTGAGTCCTTAGCTCTCACAGCTGTTCTAAAAAAAAAAGAGGATCTGGATATGGAGTCCATGGCCTGGAGGGTCTTTGCCCAGCTCCATCCAGTACATAAATTCTGGTT